TACAGTTTGTGACACTATCCAAGAGAGCAATGTAGACCCACCGGTCTATACTGCTCTCTAGGATAGGCACCAAGGGACCCCGGTGACCACGCCAAAAGCACCCCCACACCATGAGGCCGATCTCATTGGTGTTCCCCCGTGGCTTGATGCAATCGGCAAGCCATTTCTCCTCCAGTGTGCGAAAAACCCATTTCTGGGCTGGGTTGGCAGACTTTCTAACAGTACACTCATCGCTGTAGAGTATACCCTCAAAGTCCTCTGCCATCCAATTTTTGCGGGCAATTGCCCATTCTAATCTTTTCTGGGCGTGAGTAGCAGTCAACCTAGGGCGGGTTTGTGCAAGCCATTTTTTAATATTGGCTTCATGCAGAACCCGGTCAATCATACGGATCGAGACATGAGGAGCATGACGATTACGGAGTTCCAATCGTGTCATGCTCCAATCTTTTGTGGCTGCGCAGACGATAGCACGGCGCTTCCTCTGACTGAGGATAATGGGCCTTCCAGAACGGAGAGCATTGTCAATGTGGCCACGATCACATGCTCAGGCGAGAAAATTGTGGACGGTAGACCATGGGCGATTGACAAGCGTCGCAACAACTGATATCTTTTCGAAGATATGGAAAAAGGCAATTATCATGCCTTTTTCCACATCTGACATTTCTCTCTGAGCTGTCTTGGGCTTGTGGTGCGAAACTGACTTCTTCTTGTGTGGCATTTTGGTGTCATGTTCACTAATATCTACGCACTTCACTTTTGTAGATGGCTGAGTAATCACTGACTCAGCATCACCAAGACTTTTGTCTAGTGGCTGTATCTAGCTGATAAATTAGATACAGTAGCCATTTTCGACATTTTCCAGCCACGCTGTCATATTCGAGCTAGGTATGATACCGTATGATACTCGTACAGTACGGTACGGTATCATAATCATCAGATATCATGTGATTTTCCAGGTTACCCTATCAACAAGACCGTATCATAGCTGAACCCTGATACCGCAATTACCGGTACCGTATCATAATATCTGTAGGCCAGTTACTCACAGACCCTCACTCGCCCGCCCACCCAGGGTCACCCTCAACAGAAAAAAAAAGAAAGAGAAAAAAGAAAAGAAGAAAAAAGAACCCCAAAAGCACCGATCCATTCATCCATCCATACCCCCGGTACCCAACAGAAAACCCCCATCCCATCCCATCCCATCCCATCCCATCCAACACATGCTCAACCGCACAAAAGCCGGGGATAGCAGAAAGAGCCGTTTTTCTTCCTCCTCCTCCTACTCCTCCTCCCCCCGAACGCACAAGTACTGTACAAGTGCCGTACCATGCAGTACTCCGTACAGCACCAACACAAATGACCTATCACAACCAACCGACCAACAGCCTTACCGCACCGCACCGCGCCGTAGACTACATGACACGAAACGAAAACGGTGAAACAAGTGGACGGAAAAGTCCGGGGGAAATGGAAATCTTGCTTTGTTCTATCTACTCTTCTACCCTTCTACTCGCTCGTGTCTAGTTTTGTCATTATTATTGCAGGGGGGGGGTGGGGTGGGTAGTACTCATTCAGGACAGTACTGTACTTGTGCTGGTTGTGATGTAATGGTAGCGTGAGTGGGTGCATTATATATACTGGTATTGTATTGCGGGTACTTTTACTTATTACTTGTACGGGTACTTGTACAGTATAGTACTAGTACAGTAAGGTAATTTAGGTCCCTCTACAATTTCAAAGCGCAGGAAGTGGGTAACAATACAGTACAGTACAGTACAGTACAATACAATACAATACAGTAACCGGTATCATTTACGTCATATCATATCATATCGTACGGCGTGTACCGTACTCTACTGTACAGTACAAGTACCGTTCGACAACGCGAGTCGTCCCCCTCCGGCCGGATACGATACTCCGGTCTCCCAGTCTCGCGTCAGCTTCCGTGCCGGTCTGATATCACATACCGGTACATTTCCGTGTCTATGCCTTGCGAAGGGGGGGGGGGAGGGGGGGCTGCGGAACTCGAAACTGTGCTCGAGTAGAGCTGGGGTTGGACTGGACCTCTGTACTCGTACTAGTTGCTGTAGAAGTCAAGTTTTAGTTCTTTTTTTTGTTTCGTCTTTCGGCGCTTGAATTTCACTTCTTACGATTTTGTTCTGTTCCGCTCCAGCCCTACCACGTCGAAATCTGACTGACTGACCGAATGGATGACTCCCACTTTACGAGATAGAAACAGAAAAAAAGAAGGAAAAAAAGTGCAAGGCTGATGCGAAAATTACAGACATTGTATTTGCTAATCCAGCTGACCCGGACCATCACATTCTTTCACTTTCCTAGTTGCCGCTACTACTGGCACGATGACTACCGGTAACTTGCGTATTGGTTAGTCAAAGGTCACACAGAAACCTTCGAGGTTCTTGGTGCACTTCATACTTGAAAAAGACACAAAAGAAAAGGAGATTAAGGTAGTCATAGGAGACTACGGCAAGTACTTGCGTTAGTTTGGCTGGACTAAAGAATATAAAATATACTTGTAGAGTTATTTCGTGTACCATTCTTCCAACTTTGCTTCTTAGAGGAAAAACGAGAAATTGTAGAAAAGGTTAAGTTAAGTAGGAGCAGGATATAGCCAAGTACGGGTAAGGTAGGAATGGAATAGTCAAAGAAAGTAACATAAGACTAGAAACTAAAAAAACTATATAGACTGATAAAAAAAAACTCGAAAAAACTCCACCACCCAACCGAATAACGAAAAGAAATGAAAAAGGAAAGCCCATACAAAAGCAAAGAAATGAAAACAGCAGTAGTAATACCAAGTCAAGCAACCACCCAAGTCCAAAGAAAGGAAAACTAGAAAATTCCCTCCCCATTCCCACTCCTAGCAGTAGCCAGATACCTCTCGAACGGGAACGCCTCCTCCTCCTTCCCACCAGCTTCCGCAGCAAACGCACCAAACTCCTGCCCCCCGCCCCCAAACCCCACAATACTACCAGCATCACCATTGCAAAACTCCCCCCCACCCGTTCTGGGCACGCCAGATGACAGCGACGGGAGAGAAGTACAAATACTATACTGCGCCGTTTCGAAATCAGCCTCGCGGAGGGTAGTTGAGGTGTCACCGGCGCTGGTGCATTGCTGGTTCGCTGGGGTCGCTGGTGGGGACATTTCTGCTTCCGCTTTGCTGCCATTGCTGTTGACGGTGGTGGTGGTGGGAGGGGATGAAGACGAACTGACTCCACTAGCATCGGCAGGAGAAACCGGCGTTGGTGGGGCTTCCACCTTAAAAAAGTTTGCTAGGGAAAAGGCTTTTCCGACTGTGGCGCCGGAGCTGGCGGTGCGCGGACGAATGGTTGCCGTGGGGTCAGCTTCCTCCTCCATGTCCCAGTCCTGACCATCCAAGAGCAGCCCATTGAAGGATTTGGCCTGCACGGCCGTGATGGGGGGTGAGCTTGGTGGGGAGAATCTGGAGAGGGCAGTATGAGTTGTAGAGGAAGTTGATTTTATGCGGCGCATGGAGGTCGCTGGGAGGGAGAGGTTGGAGGAGGGGAGGGTTGAGGAGTGTGGTGGTGGTGGTGCGGTGGGTTGGGTGAAGAAAGAGTTTCGCAGGCTGGCGGTGCCGAGAGGTGTTGGCGTTGGTGCTTTGCGGCGGTTCGCGAGGGATTGTTGGTGGGACGGCTCTGCTTCGGGAGTGAGTTCATTTTCGATCCCGGGAAGCCCGTTCTTGGCCTGTTCAGGGAGATCTATAGAACTAAATGCGTCCAAGAGCTGGCCGGGACAGGAGTCACGGCGGATAAAGTCCCTCTCTGACGCCTCCCGCTGCTGCTGGTGGTGGTTCTGGTTATGGTGAGGTTGGAATCCCTGCCCATCCCCGGCCCTTGGAGACCGTAGAAAGCGTGTTGGTGGCATAGCGGGCAGTACAAAAGCCCTCTGGGTAGACATAACGTCAATCGCCGCAGCAAAGGCGGAAAAGTCTTCCTGTGGGTAATGATAATCAAAGTAACCCCCCGGTTCAGCCGAATCATCATTCGATTGTGAATTGCCACCATCGTAGCAGTGATCAGAGTCTGGAGGTATCTGGTCATACTCGAACGGGTCCTCCAACTGACCTGCCGGTGTCGGAGTGTATATTATTGAAGAAGCGGTACTAGAGCCATAGTCCGAGAACCGGGATATTGGCCATGGACTCTCCGTCCCACCCAGAGTGAACGGATGCATATATCCCGGAAGCTGTGATTGTGGTTGAGATTGACTAGGAATCTCGTGGGAATTCTCCTGGAATCCCCCAACTGAATCTGCCTGCGCCGCCGCGGCTGCAGCAATAGCAAGCGATCGCGCCAACGAAGCATAACTAGCTTCAGAAGGCGAGGAGTAAGGAGAGGCGCCCTCCCCGTGTTTCTCGGCGAAACGAGCGGGCGTCGAAGGGATGTCCGCGAACGACTTTGCCCGACGCGGGGGCTTTGGAGCAATCATCATGCCATCCGCTGGGAAGGTTGAGCCACTACTGGCGGTAGTGGTGCCGGTTGGTAGCAGTAAAGGACTTGAGGAAGCGGGTGAAGAAGGCTCGGTTGCTCGCCGTCGGCCGGCCGATGCGAGTATCTGCCTCGTTTGCATTTCCTCTTGTCGTTTTTGTTGCTTCGCTTTGGCTCGTCGGTTTTGAAACCAATTCTACTCAACAAAAGGAGAGAAAGAAAAGTTAGATACTTTCTGGTTATAAAAAAAAAAAAAAAAAAAAAGAACGAGGCACAAACAAGTAGCAGTAGAGCGACGAAAAAAGAGATGCGGAGAGGTTATATAGGGAAGGTGAATTAAGGGCACGGAACGGTAACACAACGGGAGAAAATTCCGAGGTGATAGTATTGTGGGCAGACCGTGTGTAATTAGGAAGTTTTGAATGGAATCCTTTTCCCCCCACTTCTACAATGTACTCACCCCAACGCGTTGTACAGACAGACCAGTTTTGTCAGCCAAAGCCCTACGGATCTTAGTGTTGGGCTTCGGAGAGTCAGAAAACTGACGCTCGAGCAATTGAACCTGTTCGCGGGTGAGTCGGCATCTCGATTCGACCATCATTAGAACTCCCCCATCCCCGTCGGACGAAGCATTGCTCAAAACGCTACAATCCGAACCTCTCCTCGATAACGACAATAGTGGTGGTGGGGGCGGCGGAGGCTGAGAATATTGAAAATTATTATCATTATTATTGCAAGGGCCACCACCGGGCATGGGAAACATGGATGTCAGGGAGACCGATGACGAAGAATTCGAGGCAAAACGGCTAGAGTCGTCGACTAGCTGTAAGTGCGGATGGAACTGCAGTATGCGATTCAAGCGATGCTCGGGCTGTGAGTAGCCTGAAAACGAATGAGCGAGGGCGGAATCCATGTCGCACGCGATTGGATGATTCCGGGATGAAGGTAGGGGAACGAACAATAATCGGCTTGATGGAGGTCAAGTTAATAACGGGCTGTCCAATTGGAAATGGAGGTAACCGGGACCTGAAAACTCGGGGGACGTGGGGATTGGCTGGTTGGGGGGAGCGACAAGGGGGAGGGAAGGAAGGGAAACGGAAGAGATCACTTGCCTTACTCGTCGGTAATGCGAGTTGCAATAAACCCCAACCAACCGCTTATGACGCAACAAGCGCAAATGAGCCCGCCCCTCAAAGATGGAAAGATATCAGAGGTTCGAACACGCTAACCCACCGGTATACCTCGAGGAACAAACAATAATGCTACACACTCGATCGCCCCGGGACGGAAACCAGCGGCAAAGCCACGGATGCAGAGGAAGGAAAAAAGGGAAAAAATAAAATAAAGGAGCCGGTGAGTGAATGTGCAATGCAATGCAATGCAAGATATGTTATGAATATACCCAGGTGCGGAAAAAAGGTTATCCAAGAGAAAGTGGCCGGGTAGCTGCTTGTGATTCTGCTTCTGCTTATGCTATGGAGGATGCTGCTTATGTATTTGGGCGGGTTGGGGCCTGTGTGTATGTATGAAAAAGAAGGGAACGGCAGGTGCACAGCGGAGACAATGATAAATGAACGAGGAAAGCACAAAGACAGATATCAGTAGATTAGGAGAGGTAAAAAAGAGAGGGAGAGGGAGGGAGAGGAGGAGGAGAAGGAGTCAAAAAAAAATAGATTTTGAGAAGGCCGGGGATGAGAAGGGGCTGAACAGATCTTTAAGTGAAAGGGAAAGGAAAGAAAGGAAAGCGAATTGCCATATGGTAAGGTAGGTATGTTTCAGCAGCGATGTGACCCACCTGCCTACCTGCCAGACAAAAGATAATAACAATACCGGTAATAGTAATAAAGATGGATTATAGAAGTGGGAGAAATACCGAAGGAGGGATCGTAGAAGAGGAAGAAAGCACCCCCCAGCCAAGTGCAGCATGGCACTGTACAGTACAGTAGCAGTCCAGTCCAGCCACTACTCGAGTATTTGCGATGCATATCCATCTCCCCTCAGCATCCCTTCGTGTCCATCGCTGTCACACACCCCCTCGCCCCGAGTGCACACCGCGCTCACCACCAGAGATCATCCATCCCCTCTCGCACCCACCCACCCACAAAAAAAACGGGGAAGAAAAAAAAGGAATGGGGAAAAAAAACCGCAATACCGGTGTTCCGAAAAAGAAATCACTGTACAGCATCAAATCCGCAGGAACCGATATGATACTCCGCCACCACACGGTACAAGTTACCGTAGGGTACAAGAACTGGACTAGACAAAATGTGCTAAACAAAAGAAAGGAAAGAGGAAGAGGTTACAAACATGGGGGGGGTCCGAAAAACGAAACACAACTGACATGATTGTGCTGTACGGAGTATGATAATACACCGCTCATCCCTGCGCTATGGTATCCCATGCAAGCGGAGCTTAAACAAAGTGTCCCAGGTCATCTTACTCATGGCAGGATAAAAGTATAATACCGGTAGGCCACGGTATGCTGGACCCCTTCGGTATCGCAATTTATGCAGCTTCAGCGGGGCGAGGATTAACGCTGATTGGGAGGACCGATTCTTCGGGATTAACCTAACGTAACGTACCGTATCGTATCCTGCCGTATAGGAGTTATCGTCGTATCATACGGCGGAGCTATCCCAGCTGTACTCGAGTGATGGGCAGGAGCTGATATGATAGCTAGCTAGCCCAAGACTGTGTGGGTGCGTTGTTTCGTTTCACAGAGGACCACATGGCGCGGGTTTATTATTGCGGTATCATCATTGCTGCTATTATTATTACGGTGTTATTATCCTCATAGCTGGGAAAAGAAGGGAAATGAGAATCTGTGGGCGAGTGAGTGGTGTGGAAATACCGGTACGGTGCTGGTCCTTCTGACATTACATTGTGAGTCCGGAGTCAGATTGCCGTATCATACGGTAGTCTTCATCATTTTAATCGGGGCGGATAGAATGGCACGGCGACAGCTAACCCTACGTACCGACCGTACTGCACGAGCACTCGTACAGTACGAGTATCCCACCGGTACCCGTGATAGCCACGAGGGTTGGAACAAGCATACTGATAAGCACCAGGTGCATGCACTGGTATCATACTGTGCTCGAGTACGGTGCGAGCACAGTACGAGTACGGTACACGGTCATATCTTCACCACCATCCCCAATATCACCCAACAAACCGGACCCCAACCCGGAACTCACCAGCCTCGCCTGCGTGACCCGGTTTCACGCTTACGTCGCTGTGATACCGCAAAAAGCACTCGAATACCGGTACTCGAGTGCAGTGCGAGTACACATCACGACGGCCGCAGTTCAGGCGCCCCTCTATACACTACCTGGTCCCTCATGATACTTGTACTGTACCGCATATACAATACCGATAAGCACTCACTCGTGAATCGACTACGGTGCCTACCAGTACGGTACGGTACTGTGCTTGACCCCATCCAGGCACGATCCACCCATCTATCCGTAATCAGCAGCTGCCTGGCCGCGCAGCGAACCGGTGCGGTACCTGCATTTTTAGATCACTGTGGTACCAACGTCCACCTGACCGCTGACAGCTCCGTATTTGGGCTCCTGTGTTGCGCGAGAGGCTCCCCGTGGCAAGCACGGTGCAGGGATTTTCATTGTGCTGTACCCGTAGATGTATGAAGTATTGTACTCGTACTAGAACTTGTACTCGTACAATACGGTACCCGTCCTGGCCGGTGGGATGGGGGGGGAGGGGGTGGAAACAAGTTGGATAGAGTAGCAGTACGGGTACAGTACAGTACAGTACAGTACGGTACTCGAGTACAAGTGCATAGTGCAGCGCGGTACACTGGCAGGGTAGGCAAGTGCGGGACTGCCGTGAAATACCGCGACAAGCCTGCCATTGCGCTTTAGGGTACGGTACTCGTACATTTGAAACCCGGAACGTTTCTCGCCACTACAATACAATACCGCATCGCGATGTCGATTTCTCGTTCATCCTTTGGTCACGGCACAAGTCTCGTCTCCTTCCCTTTTCTCCCTACCGTACTCCGTCGCTTGTGGGGCTCCCCGGGAGACCAAAGGTGGAGAAAGCTTGGAGAGGAAAGCGATGTGATACGACATGATGCACCACGGCAATTCAGATAGCACGCATGCGGCGGATGCACGGGCCCCTAAGCGAGTCCAGGAACGGATGTCTCTGGTCGAGTCGTACAAGTACTGTACCTTTTTTCTTGCGACAGGGGGGAAAAAGAACCAAATGCGGAATGATTGAGGGGGGGGATTGTGGCTGGGGGCGCAGGGGTTGGTGGATGGCGAGAGATAAGGGTGGGGAGTGGGCTAGTTGGGTTGATGGGAAGTGTGGCGGGTTGCATAAGATATCATTTTCACATGATACCGGCATCCCTTTGTCTCGTCCCCGGATTCCACACACTTTTAGTGCAAAAGGCGCAGCTTTTTAGCTCGAGAATTTAATGATGAATAGGAACGGCCAATAGCTCGCTGGGGAGGATCTGCCGCGGTGGCAGGGGGGATTTCTGGCCTGTTTTTGCCACACATTCTTCGCGCCGCACGGGCCAGCAGGGCTGTCAAGTTGGTTCGTGATTGAAAAGGTGGGGAGGGGATCCCCCTTCCTCTGATCCCGAATTCCACAGCTTTTCATTAAATGTGTGCAAACCGTTACCAAAAAGGGACGGCAGATCGGCGATTATGGTTGAGAAAGGAATATGTAACACGATTGATGGGCTGAAAGGAGGGGTTTTAGATATTTGTGGCCTAGGAGGTGTCGAGCGAAGAACGTGAGAACGCCTCCCTCTCCGATGACGCCCTGAATAGTCCAGGACCGCGGAGTCAAGGGAGGGGGATCGTGGGTTCGGGGTTACTAGGAGGGGGGAGCTTATGCTGAGCTTTAATTAAGGCACAGGTACTCGAGTACGGGTATTCGAGGATACCGGCTGCCGATATGGCATACCGGTAAGTGTTCTTCGAAGGTGCGGTACTAATTTATACTCGAGCACCCGAGCAATCTCCTGGGCCTGTTCATAAATTCAACGGGAAACTCTCGAAATCCCCTCCCCCTCTTCTATAGGGACAAGGGTCTGATGTGCCCTCTGGAGTCAAGCAAGGTCGCCCTTTCGGCTACGGTATGACGGTACTTGGCAATCCACAAAAGATTCGGATGCCTCGACTCCAAGATAGTTCATTTAGGCGCAAATTTGGACATCTTGGCGCTGAGGAATCCGGATACTTTGTGAGCCGTGATACCTGGATCAAGAGATGAAATCAGGCGCGGTTCGTTTCCAGCGAGTTGCCATGCTTTAACTTAGCCGCTGTTTGGCCCGGAACGGACCACCATACCATGCTGGCATTGGCTCTGGTTAGGCAGTACCGGTACGGTGCGGTAGTGTGAGGAGCTGCCTCTTCCCTCGAAATTGGATCAGCAGAGTGGTGGCGGGATGGTATATTAGTACTTGTACCCTCACTCGAGCACAATGCCGGGCTAAAGTATGATGCTCGTGCAAGCGGGCCGGGGATGGCATTCTATGATACAAGTATCATACCGGTACGAACTTGGCGACGGGAGAAACGGACCCCCCCCCATTTTACACCAAAAATGGCCGATTTTGAGCAATCACAACTCAACCAAAACCAATATAGAACTAACAAAACTAATGCCATGATGTAAGTAATTACCCAGAATTTTCTCACTCCACAAGAAGGGCTGAGAGCTTAGAGTAGAGATTGGATCTGGTTGCAATGTATCTTTTGTATGGGAGGCTCATACAAAATTGTAAGTACCTTTTGACCATGACCATTCCTTCTGGTATTGCTCCATGGGCATTAACTAAGAGGGCTTGTC